TTTCTATTGGAAGAAAAAAAAAAAAGAGAAGGGCGGGAAAGAGGGGAGGAAAAAAGAAACCAAGACAAAAAACCCCACAACCTGGATTTTCAATTGGAAAAAAGAGAAGGGAAAAAAACATCACTCAAAGAAATTCCTGACCACCTCTGGAAAAAAACATGTAACACACAAAAATGTTCTTGCAACACTAAATTGAACTAATTCACCAAAAAGTGGAAGGATGCTGTTCCTGAAGTACAAAGACTATTGACAAAATGCTAAAAAAGCTCCATAAAACACTTGGAAGGTGAGCAATGGTGATTTTAACCCTTAAACGTACTTTGGGAAACACAACAGAATTAGACAGTTAATACCTGAATAGTCTCTCTCAGGTTCCTGTCATGTTGTCATTGAGTATTTTAGTTCCAGAAGAAAATCAGTTGGATAAAAAAATTTGCTGACGGCACAGAAAAAAGGATGAGCTTGGAAAAAACATTTTCTCTTGTTCTGTCCCTCACTAAATCTGGGCTATAGTTATAAATACATATAGATTTCATAGGGGATCTCAGTCTGAAAAAAATGGGTTTGTCTTCTATTTTTTAAAACAAAACAGAACATGCTTTTTGTTTATGGGGATCTACATCACATTCCCAGTCTCCTGTTTGAACCAAGGCTGATGATTTCTAACGTGCTTATGTACTTCAGTATTCCTCTCATAAGTAGCTCCAGTGCATTAAAGAGACACTAGCTGGGCTAATGCTGAGTTGGGAGAGCTGACATCTCCGCACATTACCACAATGGAACTTGCAGAGTATCAGAGAAAAGCCAATTCACCATCACCACCCTGTGATAGTTTCATGGCAAGTCATGACGACATCACCCCTGACCGAGCCCTCTGCTTGCCCTCCTCTGAAGGTAGGGAACCACAAAAGCAGCCCCAAATTAGCTACAAAGGGAGGAAACTAAGAAAGGGGAGGAAACGAAAAGAGGGAAAGCAGAAGCTGTGTGAAGGACAGCTAAGGAAAATTACTGCACATCATCCTAGACAACATTTTTAACCAAAACAATGTTTTTCAACCTTATCTATACTACGTGATAGTCAAGACCCTCTAGATATTCTGCAAAAAAGATAACAAAAGAGAACAGTTGATTAAATTGGTTATTTCTCCCTCCATGCCTTTGAAAGAGTAGTTATTACAACTTATACTGCATATCTTGTTTTTAAAATAAGTAAATAATAATAATAATAACAACAACAAAACAAACAAACAAAACAGAAGAAGCAGAACATGAGAATTACTAAAGATCTCTGCAGAGTCCCAGTTTGGATCTGCCAAAGGAAGAAAATGAAGGATTATTTTAATCTGAGTTCTACTTACCACCATGTCTAGTAACAAACTGCATTAAAGGAAGAGCTGAAAAAGCCATCCTCATCAGCGGACATATTGCATTAAATAAAATTTAATCTTGGAACCCTGCTCTGTAAAACCCCACAGGAGCAGATGGCTTTACCACCCCTGAAGGGAACTGGCAAGACTACATGACGATCAGGCACTGCTGAAGCACTGCAAGCGTAGATGTCCAGTACAGCCACAACACCGAGAAAGACTGAAGGGCTGGGATTTGAATATTGCTTTTGAAATAATAAATGAATTATGAGACCATTAAATTGCCTTGCCTGGTAAAGGACAGATTCAATATAGGGAGTTGTTTCTGGGACTTTTTCCCTTGTAATGATCATGAAAAAGACACTACTATTTAAAAAAAAAAAAAAAAAAAAAAAAAAGAAAAAAAAAGGAAGAAAAAAAGGATGATCAGCCCCTCCCTTCTGCATATAAACCCATGCACACAGACAGTTTCTCTAATCTTTTTTTTTTTCCATGCCCTTTATCAAATTGATAGTGGCTGTTTTCTCCTGGCCTGCAGTATTTGCTTTTGCTTGCAGGTCTTAGACTGCAGATTTTATCTCTGTTTACCTGCTAACTTATTCTTTCAAGCTCTAAAAGAAAGGAAAGTTGACAAAACAGATTATGGCCTTTCAAAAAGTATGCTGTGAATTAGAAAGCAAGGGAAGTAAAAAACTAACATCTATCCAAAACCTCAAAGTAAATATAGTATCTCAAAACAAAAACAGCACTGAAAGAACATTAAAATAAATTCCAATCAGAATTTCACCAATTTGAATTTATACAACTTTTAATTTTACAATTGGAGAGTCAATTGAAAAAAAAAAAAAAAAATGGTAACAGTCCCTTTTCCCTGCAACTTAGTCCAGATGTCCCTGCCTGATCAGGCAATTCAGAACAGCAAGACAGTTCCTGAGAAAGACACTATAAACTATGCTATGTATGAGAGGTCATTTTTTAAACTTCATTTATTTAGCCTTCAATCTGTTACAACAACAAAGTCATTCCTTAATTACCAGGCACAGGCAGCAAACCTGCTGTTAACGTTACATCACCTCCCCCAGCTACAGAAGGATATTTAATGTTAAATGTTTCATTACCCCTCCGTGCCGTGTTCGTGGCACGGGACGGAGCCTCTGGAGGACACGGCTGGCAGCTCTGCTCTGAGGGACCCTGCAGCAGCAGCAGGACCGCAGCGATGAACAGGCAGCTCTGCTCTGCCAGTCCCCTTGGTACATGACTTTTGAAATCCGAACACATAAAATAGCACCACCGACAACAAAACCAGCTGAAAACAGAGGTTGTGGGTATCCCATAATATTCTCTTTTCCTCTCTATACTGCTTGCTGGATATTCAAAAGGTATCAAACAATTGTTCCAGTGTTTCAACAGCAAATCTCAGATGCACAGAAAGAAAATATTATGGCTGCTTCTTAAACTAAAAATCACTCTGCTGTGACTCCACTTACAGAACAGATTCAACATCAATCAAGCAGTCTCAGGCACTTTTCTAAGCCATGAAACGCAATACACACTTTTAAATGTGATATAGATATGTGCTCATCAGCTATCTGTATTGCCAAACTGCATGAAACGTAGCAATTACAGTTCAAGTAATTACCACTGCTCCTGATACCCCCAATGCTGGAATTAAAAACAGTAATAAAACTGTTCTTTTCAAAATGGACTTATTTCACTGTCTTACCAAAATACATTTCTTAGCCTTATTTTAAGTAAAGATGTTGAAATCAGGAATGACAAAACCAGTCCATTCCCAGTCTCACTGCAGACTTTCTCTTCCACAGTCCATATACCTGCGTATACTCTGAATGAGATCTGAATCTTTTTTGATGGAGCCATCACTGTGAAACTAAATGGAAAGTAATTTAGCTTTCATTTTGAAATGCATCACTTTTCATATAATGAATTAAATTAAATTTTATGGAGTCTCAAAATATACCAAAAAGGGGATATGCACTCTAGAAGTGGACTACTGCACTCCAGCTACAAATGGGAGCAAGTCTACAGGAGAATCTCCCAAGATGAGATGCTGGGAGCTCAGCACCGTTTCATTCTAAAGATCCAACCCCTGTCTGACCACATTGACTGCTGATGCAAATGTAACCTGACTGAACAGGCTTTAAGTTGACCGTGTATCTTACAGCCTGTTTAAATCTGATTTCTCAGGAGAAGCAGAAATTCAATTTTCTCTTTCTTTCTGGACTGACAGCTATGAATTAAAACATTAAAATACTCAAAAGTTTTTTCTGTGCTGCAGCTTCAACCAGCAGTCCAGTTTCTTTGAATAGCAACTTTCTTCTACTGTAAAGCATCCCATAATGATGGCCATCTCAGAATAATGTACAAAATAATGCACAAATTTTGTCCTTTATCTGGGACTAAGTTTGCATAGAAGAATAATCAAGTGGTGCATAGTATTTACATCAGCCCCTAATAAAGCATGATTTGCATTTCAGAGGTTTCAATCAGACGTTATCTATCACATCACTACAGCAGTATTAATTTTTGCTTGTGTTTTGATATGGCTTGTTTTGCTTTTGCAGATCTAGTCTTAACTCTAGTTTGGTAACACCAGATAAATACATGAGCATACTGCAATCGAAATGGAAATGTCTTTTTTGTATCATTTTTGATACAAATGTCTTTTTCCAACTGGCAGCAGCTGAACCCATCTGCAACTAACCTAAGATGAGCAGAAAAGAGCTGTCATATGCATCATGCCTTCCTTCAACTCCCTCTCCAAGCTACATTTTTCAGCAGAAGCAACAGAGATGAAATCACAATAATCCTGCTGTCTGTAGCATTAAGAAACCAAAGAAAAAAATTATCATTTCAAACCATGCAAATGAAGAACAAAGCCAGATAAAAGGGCAAAGGAATACTGAGACTTACACGCACGCTTTTGTGGGCTAAAAACTCCTATCTTTGGGTGGCTCTGTTTAAGAGCCATTTAATAGGAGCATTGAGAAGGCAGATTTTTTTCACTGCAGAAAAAAAATCAGTACTCTGTGACATTTTTCTCTTAGAGACAGAGAATCAAACTGGAAAGGCATTTGATTTGGAAAAAGAAAAATAACCTTGTAATTAATATGGGTTACTAAATTTAAGGAAAATGCAATTGTTTGAACCCAACCAACTATATTCACAAATAAATTAGAAAGTTCAAAGCACCTAAAAGAAAAACAGCAGTGGGAGAAATTTTCTGAAAAAGTCTTTTCAGGATGAGCAGCTGGATGGAGAACTTGTGATTAGGACCAGGCCGGAACTGCTGCCAAAGCCCAGAGCTCAAGCCATGGTCACCCACAGCAGGTAGGAGGAGCAGCTCAGATCATGGGTTTGAGAATGAGGACCTATGGGAGATGTGCTGCTGACAAGGCCTAAGGGTGATAGTCCATTTCTTCAACTTTATGAAGGAATCAACTGTCCCAAGTAAAGCCTATTCAGCCCTAAAGGCTCAGTGCCTTACATCACTGCCTAACACTGTGATGTCACTGCTGTTCTGTCACTACCTGCTGCTACCTGGGCAGCAAGGGACGAGCCTCAAAGTTGGAGTCCCAAGTAAAACAGAGGGATAATTGCTGTGACCAGTGGTACCAAGGACAGAGAAGAAGTGTAAAGATCCAACTTGCGAATAACGACCATTTCAATTCCAACATCCTTCAACTACATCCAGCAAGGAAACACAGTTAAAGCCTCAGAAAGCAAACGGACATCTTGGAACTGGAGATGGGTCACTCACTTTAGCTCTCTGAGGCAGGTTCATCATGGTGTCTGGTTTGAAGTCGTTCTTGTTCTTTCTGCACAGAACTGCTGTGATGATGATGATGATAACCGTAACCACAGCAATGGGAGCCAGCACCGCTGCAATGATCCACAGGTTGTTCGGGGGGTTCTTCACCACAGCTACAGAAAATTGCAAACCAACACAGCTAAGTTTCACTGTGCAAACACAAAGTTTAAATTGCTTCCAATACAGTCTTCAACTGTCTCCACCTAATAAATAGTATAAAAGGACTCCTAGTGATCTAGCTACACCTTTGTGTTCCTTAAGTGGAAAAAAAAAAAATCAGCAACACTTGAATTCACAAATCCCTGGGCTCCCTTCTCTTACTTAGTTATAGCCAGCTGCAAAAGCAGCCATCGACTCTCATGTCGATGCCATGTTAGATATCACTCTGATTATTCATTTTCAGAATAAACAAAAAAAAAGGGAAAGCAATACATCTTTAATTATTTTTCAAACACAAACCCAGCTTATGGTAAGGTAGCATGTGTGTTAAAAGCACAGACACAGAGTCCATACCTGGTGTCAAAAACTTACTGGCTCAGCAAGAGTAAACCAGGAGAGCTTTTTTTCAAAGACAATGAAGCTAAACATGCTAATAGTTATTAAATATATCAATAGGGCAATAAGAAAATGCTTCGCTTGTGCTCTAGAAATACTTTATCATAGTTAAGGTCAAAATGAATCCATCATTTCTGAAGAAGGGGAAATAATGAGGTTGGAAAGAGCTACTTGCAGATAGATTAATAATGGTACCAGGAAAAGGGTACATTTCAGAAATGCAATGATGTTAAAACGCTTTAGATTCCATTTTATCAGAGTAAAGTCTTTTAGTATGAACCTTCAACTCGTACACACATACGAGATCCTCCTGTGACACGTCCCTGGTTCTCTCATGTCATTTCTTTTTGGAAAAAAACACCAGATAATCTCCTTATCATGATGAATTCTGTTTTAGTGAAATATTTGGTGGACTTCACCATGCTATCTCTATTTATTCTCCTACACCAATGGTTACTGGTATGGACAGGCAATTCTGAGAACACCAGCATAAAACAGCCTTTCCCATTTCCTAGAGGACTGGCACTTTCAAATGGCATTGAGCTTATTAGCTGTCAGAGGCATTCAGCATCTTTCAGGATCAGACTTCAATTGCACACCATCTTGCTCAGCAGCAGTTACAAAAGCCAGCTGAAAGTCTGTCTGAAGCTTGAGCCTGTTTTCTTTGTAGATCTACAACTTTTTGCAAAGCCCGTGTAGTTTGTCAGGTGATGTAGGAATAGCACCCTTAGGTACATATCCTGTGCACAGTGTGACAGTAACCACGTGCCTAAAGACTGTCCAAAAATCCAGGTTGAAGCCTTTCAAGGCTCACTTTTCAGTGGACTTGCATAATTCTAAATTATTGACTTTGGGCATTCAGTCTGGGTATGGCAAGGCTGCGGGGAAGGAAACTGAATCTGAATCTTATCAGTTATAGATTGTGGGAGCAACAAACAATTGCTGAAAAATTATAATCATTATTTCTAGGGAACACAGAGGAAATGATGACCTTATGGCTAATAGGACAGACATTTAGGAATCCTTGTTTACATCTTTAATTCAGTTACCAGCTTCCAGTGTGACCTTGAGTAAGTCAAGGCACACATCATTCAACTCAATAAGACTTCAGTAGATTTTAAAGCAAGTCTTTCATTTTGCTATAACTCAAGTCCCTCACTTATAGAACAGGGACATCCACATTTTTTGTTATTATTCGTCTGTCTTGTCTAACCAGACTGTGAGCCCCTGAGGGTAGATGTCTTTGCTTAGCACATTTTGGTACAGAACTTTTCATTCTGCTATAAGAGAAATTATAAAGAGCAAAAATGAAGTGTGCACAAAGTATTTTCTTTGGGAATACAGACAGACTCCAAATACCATGTCCAAATGAAAGTTGGGGTATTTTTTCTGTAATAAGGTATAAAGATAGTTCTATCTTCTACATTTCAAATACTCTAGCCGCAGAATCGCAGTTACCTGGGGTCATAATTTCAATTTATGTATATTCTCTTCTTACAGTATTCTGTGTATATTTAACTTGCATTAAAATCTACAGATGAGTGAGGCTGCCTTATCAGACCATGGAAGTACAGACCTAGATCATGAGCAGCCGATGTCATATAATTACATAAATACCCATATAAATCACAAAACTGCACAAAGAGCTACGAAACTGCCATGTACTATCTATAGCTGCTTTAGTAAAAATCACATTAAAGAAATATCCTCATGGAAAACAAAGT